TCGGAAAGGGCAAAGATAAGGAGTAGCAAGACCGTTTATGGGTCCATTATAATAGTTCAGGTGATAGACTGTGGCAGCAGGAATAGAAGAAGGAATAAAACCAAGAGATTCATCCAAGACCTGGCTAAATGACACTTCCTCTGCAAGAGCTTCCCTGTCTTTCGTGGGATGAATTAATTACTCATTTCTCTGTGCATCTTTACATCCTAAATATCACAAATTCACTTGGGTAATTATTGGGTAATTATGTGTTTACATGTTTAATTTCTCCACTAGGCTGTGAGTTTCTATAAAGGAAAAGACTATCTTACCCATTTTTATGTCCCTATAATGACTGGCACATAGTATTGTACAACAAATGTTGGATGGAGAGATGGGTAGCTAGAACAAGGGGACTGAAGAATGGCTAACATTAGGATAAAGAAAAGAGATAGCAAAGCTGGTGTGACCATGCCAAAGGTTCATGGTCTGGAAGATGGGAAAGAAAATTAAACTTAACCACTGAGGCTATAACCAGACTGTAAAGAACCTTAAATACCTGAGAGACAAGAATAAACTTTATTTGGTAGACAAAGAGGAGTGACTAAAAGTTTTGAAGCATGAAAGTTCATGACTTACGCAATATTTCAAGAAGATGTGCCTCTTCTTTACTATCACATTTCTAGACCAACTTCTTTCACTTTCAGAAGAGCACTTACGGAATGCAAACGCATTTGAATATCACACTAAATACAACATATTAGGATGGTAAGGTAAGTCTGTTTTATCTCGCTCATGTAAGTGGTTTTTAGATTATCCACATCATTAACTCCATGAGCCATTAGCATAAAGAATGAGGAAGCCAATCAAGCTGAATGAGGAACAACTTAGAAGCAGAGTTCATTCTATGCTGATCCTACTGGAGATGAAAATTCAGTCGCCAGTTCTGGTCTGGTGAATTTGTGATTCCAGAAGCCTCCACTTCCCTGTGTGACCTTCACTGGAACTGTTATCCAGGAGGCATGAGCTGAGCATTCAGGATTCCTGACATGTCTCGGGGTTCCATGAGTGACTCGGCGATGGGTTGGCCACCACTGACAATCAGTTTTTACCTGCCACCATTAAGACAACAAGTGATGGGAACCACACTCTCAAGACCACAGAAATCCAAGCTAGACCTGAAACTCTAGAGAAGGAAAGGCAAGAACAGAGAGCTACAGGTGCCGACAAATTCAACCCTGGGTTTACTCCTCCATTTTATTTCTTGGTTTTCCTTCTCCTCCTATTT